AAGGGGGCGGGACTTAAGGTGTATTCTCTGCTCACATTTGACCATGATCATGTAGACGTCGATGGTGCAGATCGGGGGGTGAGGCAGCCGCTCGCCCCGCTCCAGCACCGACGAGATCTCACTGGCCGGGATCCCGTCGTACGGTTTGGAGCCGAACGTCATCAGCTCCCACACCGTAACTCCTACACACACACACACACACACACACACACACACACACACACACACACACACACACACACACACACACACACACACACACACACACACACACACACACACACACACACACAGCTTTGTGAGCAGGACTATATAGATACAACATGAGAGAGCAGGTGGCTTCATAACAGCAGGCGTCTGACCGTAGCTCCAGACGTCGCTCTGGTGCGTGTATCTCCACTGCATGATGGACTCCAGAGCCATCCACTTGATAGGAACCTGAGAGAGACACAGATAGAAACTAAGTCTGTGTCCACAACCCTCACATGAAGGCAGTACACCTGAGTAAACGTGTCAGGTGTACTGTGTGATGGAAACGTCTGGATCAATGGAGACTCAGAGAGACAGGAGAGAGCAGGAACACTGATCACAATCTCCGGGTTCAATCCCTCCTCCAAACCCACCTGTCAGATCAGCCGACTCGCTGCAGCGCTCCCTATCATCTGTTTCCCCTGAGTAACCTGTCCCTATCATTTGTGTCCACTTTATCTGTCTTCTCCATGATGGTATGTTTGTGTTTTTATCATGTTCTGTTGCTTTGACCTCTTAGAATATTTAACAAATTGTACGGTGTCCTTGGGTGTCATGAAAGGCGCCTTAAATAAAATGTATTATTATTATTATGAAGGTTTATTTGGAGCTTCGGAGGGAGAATTCACAAGACATGTGCTCTGTGTCTGAAGACCTCTCCCCCAGACCCCTGCATCAGCTCTGAGAGAAGAATCAACAACATACATCACTATAGCCTCTATCAGCTGACTGGCAGGCAGGAGACACTGAGAGCAGCTCAGTGAGGACACACTGAGAGCAGCTCAGTGAGGACACACTGAGAGCAGCTCAGTGAGGACACACTGAGAGCAGCTCAGTGAGGACACACTGAGAGCAGCTCAGTGAGGACACACTGAGAGCAAGGTGCTCAGTGAGGACACACTGAGAGCAAGGTGCTCAGTGAGGACACACTGAGAGCAGCTCAGTGAGGACACACTGAGAGCAAGGTGCTCAGTGAGGACACACTGAGAGCAGCACAGTGAGGACACACTGATCACCTGGGTCACAGGAAGGGCCTAGGAAGATACTTCCCCATCACACTGCAGTATAAAGGTCTCCGCTACCTTTCCTCCATCGGCGTGGTACTCCTTCTCGTCGGCCGTCAGCAGTTTGGCGAGTCCGAAGTCAGTGATCTTCACGTGGTTCGGGTTCTTCACCAGAACGTTCCTCGCTGCCAGGTCTCTGTGGACCAGGTGGCGCTCCTCCAGGTAGTTCATCCCCTAAATGCATGTTAGGGCAGGGTTAGGGTTATGTGGGAGCCAATGGGAGATGACGAGGTAAATAGGCTAAAAGAAAAACATGTTTTCCAGAAGAGCTACACATCTCTTGAACGACAACATGCCTGCGCTGCACCTCCAAGGTGCACGACACAATCTGTGCCTGTGAGCGTGCTGTGTGAGCAGAGATGATGTGTGTGTGCGTAGTTCAACCTTTTCATATTTAAGTTTGTAGCAAGTAGAGGGCTGCTGCTGTGTGTGTGTGTGTGTGAGTGTGTGTGTGTGAGTGTGTGAGTGTGTGAGTGTGTGAGTGTGTGTGTGTGTGAGTGTGTGTGTGAGTGTGTGTGTGTGTGTGTGAGTGTGTGAGTGTGTGTGTGTGTGTGTGCGTGAGTGTGTGCGTGTGTGCGTGTGTGTGTGAGTGAGTGTGTGCAGTGTGTGAGTGTGTGTGTGAGTGTGTGTGTGTGTGTGTGTGTGTGTGTGATGCTTGTGAAGTGTGTGTGTTGTAGTGTCGCGTGTGTGAGTGTGGTGTGTTCGATGTGTGATGTGTGTGTGTGTGGTGTTGTGTGATTGTTGTGTGTGAGTGTGTGTGTGTGTGAGTGGAGTGTGGGAGTGTGTGAGTGTGTGTGTGTTGTAGTGCTGTGGTAGTGTGTGTGTGCGGTGTTGAGTGTGTGAGTGTGTGGTTGTGTGTGTGGCGTGTTGGAGTGTGTTGTGGGTGTGGTGATGGTGTGTGTGTGTGTGTGTGAGTGGTGTGAAGTGTGTGAGTGTGTGTGTGAGTTGTGGTGTGTGTGTGTTTTGTGGTGTGTTGTTGAGTGTGTGTGCGGTGGGTGTGTGGTGTGTGTGTGGTGGTGTGTGTTGAGTGTGTGAGTGTGTGTAGTGTGTGTGTGCGTGTTGCGATGTGCGTGTGACGTGTGCGTTGTGTGGTGTGGTGTGTGTGTGTGGTGTGGTCGCGTGTTGTGGGTGTGTGTGTGTGTGTGTGTGTGTGTGTGTGTGTGTGTGTGTGTGTGTGTGTGTGCCCCCATAGAGCTCAGTTTATAACTCGGGGTTTAATTTGTGTTCACATCACATAGTAATGAGTGTGTGTGGAGCTGCAGATCCATCTCGCTCTCCAGACTTAGTAACACAGGTTTGATTTAGAAAGACTCTGAAATGATTGGATATTTACAGATGTATCTCTGATGTTGGGAAGGTTTGTGTGGACAGGGTGAGACATATTAAAGCATCTGACGGCTGACCTTGTTCTCTGTGATGTTCCCAGTGTTTTGTAACCCTGATGATCTGAGAGCAGAGCGGAGAGATTACCTCTGCCTCTGTGTCGGAGCTAATGAACTCTGAAGGATCTCACACAGCAGCTGAGGTATTTGAAATGAGACGAGCAGGTGTTGGGAGACGGTTAGCAAGACACAAGGGTAATGTTTCCCCTACAGGACGCTCTGAGTCAATATGAAGAGATGCCAAACAGACAAAGAGACATACACAACTACAAAGAAATGCAAAGTGACTACATAGGGATGCATAGCAACCAGAAACACACACAAAAGACCAGAGAAATACATGAAAAGACTACAGAGACACACAATGATCAGGTAAAGACACAAAAGGACTAAGAAGGGATAGAAAAGACACGTAAAATGTCCACAGAACAAAAACTGCCAAACGAAACTCATAAACACACAAAACGACCCCAAAGACACACATAAACCCCCCTCATATTGTGTGTCCCTCATGTTGTGTGTCTCTCACCTTGTGTGTGCCCCCCCCCCTCATATTGTGTGTCTCTCACCTTGTGTGTGTGTCCCCCCCTCATATCATGTGTCTCTCACCTTGTGTGTGCCCCCCCCCCTCATATTGTGTGTCTCTCACCTTGTGTGTGCCCCCCCCCCCTCATATTGTGTGTCTCTCACCTTGTGTGTGCCCCCCCCCCTCATATTGTGTGTCTCTCACCTTGTGTGTGCCCCCCCCCCTCATATCATGTGTCCCTCACCTTGGCGATCTGCAGGCACCAGGTGAGCAGCCACTGCCCCCCCACCTGCTCCCTGTGCAGACGCACGTAGTCCAGGAGACATCCGAAGGGCATCAGCTGAGTGACGAGCTGCACTGAGGAGGTGAGACAGATCCCCAGGAGACGACAGACGTGAGGGTGAGACACGCTGGCCATCACATACGCCTCCTAAAGGACACACAAAGAGACACTGAGGAGGTGAGACAGATGCCCAGGAGACGAGAGACGTGAGGGTGAGACACGCTGGCCATCACATACGCCTCCTAAAGGACACATAAAGAGACACTGAGGAGGTGAGACAGATGCAGAGGAGACGAGAGACGTGAGGGTGAGATACGCTGGCCATCACATACGCCTCCTAAAGGACACACAAAGAGACACTGAGGAGGTGAGACAGATGCCCAGGAGACGAGAGACGTGAGGGTGAGACACGCTGGCCATCACATACGCCTCCTAAAGGACACATAAAGAGACACTGAGGAAGTGAGACAGATGCCCAGGAGACGACAGACGTGAGGGTGAGACACGCTGGCCATCACATACGCCTCCTAAAGGACACATAAAGAGACACTGAGGAAGTGAGACAGGTCCCCAGGAGACGAGAAAGAGACACAAAATAAAGTGAATAAATCTCACGTCCAGGATGTCTTTGTTGGCTTTAGGAGACGTTGCCTCTCTCAGAACCTTGATGGCCACCGCGATCCTCACGTTCTCTCCTTCAGGGATCCAGAGGCCCTGGTGTGAGACAGAGGGTGAGACAGAGGGTGAGAGAGACCCTGATGTGAGACAGAGGGTGAGAGAGAGGGTGAGAGAGACCCTGATGTGAGACAGAGGGTGAGAGAGAGGGTGAGGGACCCTGATGTGAGACAGAGGGTGAGACAGAGGGTGAGAGAGACTCTGATGTGAGACAGAGTGTGAGAGAGACCCTGATGTGAGACAGAGGGTGAGAGAGCGGGTGAGAGAGACTCTGATGTGAGACAGAGGGTGAGAGAGACCCTGATGTGAGACAGAGGGTGAGAGAGGCCCTGATGTGAGACAGAGGGTGAGAGAGGCCCTGATGTGAGACAGAGGGTGAGACAGAGGGTGAGAGAGAGGGTGAGACAGACCCTGATGTGAGACAGAGGGTGAGAGAGGCCCTGATGTGAGACAGAGGGTGAGACAGAGGGTGAGAGAGAGGGTGAGACAGACCCTGATGTGAGACAGAGGGTGAGACAGAGGGTGAGAGAGCGGGTGAGAGAGACTCTGATGTGAGACAGAGGGTGAGAGAGACCCTGATGTGAGACAGAGGGTGAGACAGAGGGTGAGAGAGAGGGTGAGACAGACTCTGATGTGAGACAGAGGGTGAGACAGAGGGTGAGAGAGACCCTGATGTGAGACAGAGGGTGAGAGAGGTCCTGATGTGAGACAGAGGGTGAGACAGAGGGTGAGAGAGAGGGTGAGACAGACCCTGATGTGAGACAGAGGGTGAGACAGAGGGTTGATGTTGTTCGTGAAGCTTTAACTAAGTTAGATCCTAAGAAACAACGTGGAACCTTTCTTTTTAAAGATAGCTGCAGAGTTTATTGCTCCACCTCTCACTACTCTTTGTAACCTCTCCCTCAGCACAAACACAATTCCAAAACTGTGGAAGTCAGCGTATGTCCTGCCTTTGCTGAAAGGAGGGGAGGCAACTGTTTTAAATAATTATAGGCCCATCTCTAAATGGTCAGTTCTGGCGAAGGTTCTTGAACGCCTAGTGAGTGAGCAGGTAAAGGTGTTTTTATGTACAAATGACATCCTGTCTAAACATCAGTCAGGCTTCAGAAAGCAACATAGCACCATCACTGCCACAATGAAAGTGGTGAATGATGTGGCGAGTATTTTAGATAATAAGCAGAGCTGTGCAGCTCTATTTATTGACCTTTCCAAAGCGTTTGATACCGTCGATCATCGCATCTTAAAGCAGAGGCTACTCAGTATTGGCTTATCCAGCCATGCAGTGGGTGGTTTGTGAACTACCTCTCTGAAAGGTCCCAATGTGTTCACTTTGATGGGCTGTCTTCTGAGTGGTTGAACATTGCTAATGGTGTTCCTCAAGGTTCTGTTTTAGGTCCACTTTTATTCTCCATCTACATCAATAGTTTAGGTGAAAATGTCGATGGAGCAACCTTACATTTTTATGCGGATGATACCGTTATGTACTGTGCAGGTCCCTCCATTAAGGAGGCTGTTGTTGAATTACAGGCTGCTTTTAACATTATTCAGACTCAGCTCTCTGAACTAAAGCTTCTTTTAAATGTTGATAAAACCAAGGTAATGCTCTTTTCTAAAGCCAAAAAGACACCAGAGCCTGTTTTAGATATTGTAACTACGCAAGGAATAAAACTTGAAGTGGTTACCTGTTACAAATACCTTGGTATCTGGCTTGATAATTGTCTCACTTTTAAACGTCATGTCAATAACCTGCTTAACAAACTGAGGGTTAGACTAGGTTTCTTCTACAGGAACAAGTCCTGTTTCTCGCTCGAGGCCAGAAAAAGGCTCTGTGACCTTTTGACCTGTGCTGGACTATGGTGATCTGATCTATATGAATGCACCTGCCCATTGCCTGATCAAGTTAGATGCTGCGTATCACAGTGCACTGAGATTTGTGACAAACTGTAAAGCATTAACCCATCACTGTACCCTGTATGCAAGGGCTGGTCTGCCTTCACTAACTGTACGGAGGCTCAGTCACTGGTACATTTTTATATATAAAGCCATGTTAGGGAAACTTCCATCCTACATCTGCTCCCTGATCTCACGGTGAATTGTAAGTGGCTACTGCCTGAGATCGCATGCTGTGGTTTTATTAAATGTGCCAACTGCTAGGACTGTCTTAGGGAAGATAGCTTTTAGATGCGCAGCTCCACTGTCCTGGAATAGTCTGCAATTAAAATGGAAACTGAGCAATCTGGTGCCACTACATGTTTTTAAAGCTCGGTTGGATGCTACTGAATCGGAAGCTGTTGGTACCTGTGCATGTGGATAGTTATGTAATTTGTAATCCCTGTAATGCTACTGTATGATGTCCTTTTGTTGTTCTGTTGTTTAATGTTTCATGTGGAACCTACTTGAGCAGGTCTCCCTTGAAAAAGAGGTCAATGATCTCAATGGGATACAACCTGGATAAATAAAGGTGTGAAATGAAATGAAATGAGAGGGTGAGAGAGCGGGTGAGAGAGACTCTGATGTGAGACAGAGGGTGAGACAGAGGGTGAGACAGAGGGTGAGAGAGCGGGTGAGAGAGACTCTGATGTGAGACAGAGGGTGAGAGAGACCCTGATGTGAGACAGAGGGTGAGACAGAGGGTGAGAGAGAGGGTGAGACAGACTCTGATGTGAGACAGAGTGTGAGAGAGACCCTGATGTGAGACAGAGGGTGAGACAGAGGGTGAGAGAGACTCTGATGTGAGACAGAGGGTGAGAGAGGCCCTGATGTGAGACAGAGGGTGAGACAGAGGGTGAGAGAGAGGGTGAGACAGACCCTGATGTGAGACAGAGGGTGAGACAGAGGGTGAGAGAGAGGGTGAGAGAGACTCTGATGTGAGACAGAGGGTGAGAGAGACCCTGATGTGAGACAGAGGGTGAGACAGAGGGTGAGAGAGAGGGTGAGACAGACTCTGATGTGAGACAGAGTGTGAGAGAGACCCTGATGTGAGACAGAGGGTGAGACAGAGGGTGAGAGAGACTCTGATGTGAGACAGAGGGTGAGAGAGGTCCTGATGTGAGACAGAGGGTGAGACAGAGGGTGAGAGAGAGGGTGAGACAGACCCTGATGTGAGACAGAGGGTGAGACAGAGGGTGAGAGAGAGGGTGAGAGAGACTCTGATGTGAGACAGAGGGTGAGAGAGACCCTGATGTGAGACAGAGGGTGAGACAGAGGGTGAGAGAGAGGGTGAGACAGACTCTGATGTGAGACAGAGTGTGAGAGAGACCCTGATGTGAGACAGAGGGTGAGACAGAGGGTGAGAGAGACTCTGATGTGAGACAGAGGGTGAGAGAGGTCCTGATGTGAGACAGAGGGTGAGACAGAGGGTGAGAGAGAGGGTGAGACAGACCCTGATGTGAGACAGAGGGTGAGACAGAGGGTGAGAGAGAGGGTGAGAGAGACTCTGATGTGAGACAGAGGGTGAGAGAGACCCTGATGTGAGACAGAGGGTGAGACAGAGGGTGAGAGAGAGGGTGAGACAGACTCTGATGTGAGACAGAGTGTGAGAGAGACCCTGATGTGAGACAGAGGGTGAGAGAGACCCTGATGTGAGACAGAGGGTGAGAGAGGCCCTGATGTGAGACAGAGGGTGAGAGAGAGGGTGAGACAGACCCTGATGTGAGACAGAGGGTGAGACAGAGGGTGAGACAGAGGGTGAGAGAGAGGGTGAGAGAGACTCTGATGTGAGACAGAGGGTGAGACAGACCCTGATGTGAGACAGAGGGTGAGACAGAGGGTGAGAGAGACTCTGATGTGAGACAGAGGGTGAGCGATAGAGAAAACACACACGTTCATGCCCCCGGGGTATCATATATATTAAAGGTCTCCTGTCACACACAATGACTAAGAATCAGATCTTTAGCATGATCTGGTTTGGTATTCTGAGCTAAACACTTCAGAGACATGTTTTTTTAATATATTTGTATATATCTGAGACCTATAATATATGCCTAAAATAGCGTGATAGGAGACCTTACATCCAGGATCTCTCACCTTATAGACGGTCCCGAAGGCTCCTGATCCCAGAACTCTGATCTTCTTGAACTCGGTCTCCTTCAGGATCCGGAGCAGCGCCTGGTTAGGAGCTTCACCGCTGGGAGTGAGGGGCTCCACCAGCTGGGGGGGAACACCTTTCATTAATATACTGGACCTGAGAGCAGCTATCAAACCCCTTAGTTTAATATACTGGACCTGAGAGCGGCTATCAAACCCCTTAGTTTAATATACTGGACCTGAGAGCGGCTATCAAACCCCTTAGTTTAATATTCTGGACCAGAGAGCAGCTATCAAACCCCTTAGTTTAATATACTGGACCAGAGAGCAGCTATCAAACCCCTTAGTTTAATATACTGGACCAGAGAGCAGCTATCAAACCCCTTAGTTTAATATACTGGACCTGAGAGCAGCTATCAAACCCCTTAGTTTAATATACTGGACCTGAGAGCAGCTATCAAACCCCTTAGTTTAATATACTGGACCTGAGAGCGACTATCAAACCCCTTAGTTTAATATACTGGACCTGAGAGCGGCTATCAAACCCCTTAGTTTAATATTCTGGACCAGAGAGCAGCTATCGAACCCCTTAGTTTAATATACTGGACCTGAGAGCGGCTATCAAACCCCTTAGTTTAATATAATGGACCTGAGAGCGGCTATCAAACCCCTTAGTTTAATATACTGGACCAGAGAGCAGCTATCAAACCCCTTAGTTTAATATACTGGACCAGAGAGCAGCTATCAAACCCCTTAGTTTAATATACTGGACCTGAGAGCAGCTATCAAACCCCTTAGTTTAATATACTGGACCAGAGAGCAGCTATCAAACCCCTTAGTTTAATATACTGGACCAGAGAGCAGCTATCAAACCCCTTAGTTTAATATACTGGACCTGAGAGCAGCTATCAAACCCCTTAGTTTAATATACTGGACCAGAGAGCAGCTATCAAACCCCTTAGTTTAATATACTGGACCAGAGAGCAGCTATCAAACCCCTTAGTTTAATATACTGGACCAGAGAGCAGCTATCAAACCCCTTAGTTTAATATACTGGACCTGAGAGCAGCTATCAAACCCCTTAGTTTAATATACTGGACCTGAGAGCAGCTATCAAACCCCTTAGTTTAATATACTGGACCTGAGAGCAGCTATCAAACCCCTTAGTTTAATATACTGGACCAGAGAGCAGCTATCAAACCCCTTAGTTTAATATACTGGACCAGAGAGCAGCTATCAAACCCCTTAGTTTAATATACTGGACCAGAGAGCAGCTATCAAACCCCTTAGTTTAATATACTGGACCTGAGAGCAGCTATCAAACCCCTTAGTTTAATATACTGGACCTGAGAGCAGCTATCAAACCCCTTAGTTTAATATACTGGACCTGAGAGCAGCTATCAAACCCCTTAGTTTAATATACTGGACCAGAGAGCAGCTATCAAACCCCTTAGTTTAATATACTGGACCAGAGAGCAGCTATCAAACCCCTTAGTTTAATATACTGGACCAGAGAGCAGCTATCAAACCCCTTAGTTTAATATACTGGACCAGAGAGCAGCTATCAAACCCCTTAGTTTAATATACTGGACCTGAGAGCAGCTATCAAACCCCTTAGTTTAATATACTGGACCAGAGAGCAGCTATCAAACCCCTTAGTTTAATATACTGGACCAGAGAGCAGCTATCAAACCCCTTAGTTTAATATACTGGACCAGAGAGCAGCTATCAAACCCCTTAGTTTAATATACTGGACCAGAGAGCAGCTATCAAACCCCTTAGTTTAATATACTGG